CTCAGAAAGCTTCTATTTTTTCTTTTTAACTGCTCAACACTTACCTTAATCACTTTACTTGTACAGAATATGCTGAAGTTTTTTTTTTCTCGTTTATATTTTTTCTTCATGTATCTGTCTCTGTTTTGTATTGTATCACTCAGAAAGCTTCTATTTTTTCTTTTTAACTGCTCAACACTTACCTTAATCACTTTACTTGTACATAATATGCTGAAGTTTTTTTGTTTTTTCTCGTTTATATTTTTTCTTCATGTATCTGTCTCTGTTTTGTATTGTATCACTCAGAAAGCTTCTATTTTTTCTTTTTTTCTTTTTAACTGCTCAACACTTACCTTAATCACTTTACTTGTATATAATATGCTGAAGTTTTTTTGTTTTTTTTGTATATATTTTTTCTTTATGCTGTATTTCAATGTTTTGTACTGTAACAATGTATCACTAAGAAATTTTGGGGATCGTGGGTATATATTTGCTATAGTTTATAGTATAGTATGTACAATGTTATGTTGGACCACAATGGAAATAAGTGTGTTAGCCACGCTTTTTTGTGTTTTCATCCTCGATAATTTTCTAGCTGCATTTTTTTGTTTATTTATGCTGTTATCAATGTAATGTATGCTTTAGTAATTATCGAAATAAATAAATCAAAATAAATAAATTAAAAGGATGGCAATCAAGGTTACCTCTTACCACTTAAAAGAAATCATCGGTTAATCAAAAGAAATACTATACAAACAAACACTGAAACATAAAATACAGATAGGACCGGCTATAAGCTATATCGTAAACACATATCCATAGCCAACTCTTTGTTTAATAAAAATTTGAATTCGTGGTTTTGCTATGTCGTGTATCGACCAAATGGTATCGGCAATTGTGACTCAAACAATGATGCGACGCGTGACGAAATTGGATCGTTCGTCACCTTTACGTACTATGGTGAGTTTTGTGCCGTAGCATGCCTCTGTTGGTAGGGATAAAACACGCTGAATGCGGCTTCCCTAAATTGCAACATCTGAGGTCATACTTTGAAGCGGCTATAGGCGTCTCGCCCTCCTCATCGCATAGCTTACTATATCCTTTCGACGCTTTGAGTCACCGTCACGCCGTACAATGAAATTCGAATACCACGCTAGCTATAACTACGAAAAATTCGCGAACGATTTTACTGTTAATAAATTATTTCCGAATTTGTGGCTATGTATACAGTGATTAGGATGTAGCTTACCCTAGGTGTCGCTGTGTTAGACTACTTCTTCTGCTGCTCCTCGACTTTGCTCTGCGCGGGCTCTGGATCGAGGCTGTCGAGCTTGGAGGACATCACAACATGGCTGCCTCTCCATTATCTTCCTCCCTCGCTCTTCTTCTCTCACGATGCTCTTCTTCTCTGTCTCTCCTTCTTCATCATCTGGGGGATCAGCGTAGCGTACGTAGCGAGTGCGGAATCTTCTTCTCCTTCTTCGTCTTCTTCTGGTTCCGGGGGATTAGCGTAGCGAATGCAGATCGTTGCATCCTCCACCAATTGTTGTACTGCGAAGAGGTGTAGATCTCCGTGCAGGATGGACGAGTCGACAGCGTAGAGTAACAGCGTTGTCCCGTAGATAACCAGTAGAGAGAGGTTTAACAGCAGCAGCGTAGAGAGCAGATATAACCAGTAGAGAGAGGTTTAACAGCAGCAGCGTAGAGAGCAGATATAACCACAGTAGACGTAGACGTAGACGTAGTCACGGATTAGTAGTTTCACATAGACTTTTATTATTAACTACACATACAAATATATATATACATAATACAGCCTATAGGCAACCATGCCTAAACTCTCTGACTGACTACATCTCTAAATCTTATATCTTGTGTCCTTCTTTGCTTGTCAATGCTGCTTATATATATGGGATCAAAACCGGCTCTAGAAACTCGTCTGTCTAAAACCAGACCCTTGCTGGGAAGCAAGCGATGCCCGCTCGTAGGTGCATGCGTCGTGTCACTTATTCTCTAGCGCAAGGCGGATGCGGAAGGCGCGCCCGTCCATTGTAGTTTGCGCGTTCGTCAACCACTCCTATAGGTGTTGCTATACAGTAGAGGCCGTCCATAGGCTGCAAGCCTGAATAAGCATCGAACAGATATTAATTAAAAATACTCACACTGTTACTGCACTTACAAAACATACACTTTATTCATGTTAAATAACTACAGATTCATGCTCTATGCTCCCCTCGAAACTTTTGCCAGCTCTATGATGCGAATTTCTGCAAAGTTGAAGGGAGAAGGGAGAAGCTGGTGGAGAAGGAGGAAGGGGAGAAGGGAGAAGGTGGTGGAGAAGGAGGAAGGGG